CGTATTTTTATTATTTTCCATACTCACTTAGGTTTCTGTTCAGCACAATCATCATCCATTTTTTCTGTCCATCACCACCATCCGTCCGACCACCACGCCTCGTCAGCAGCTCCCACCAAACACAATCCCTAATGAAATATGAAAATGAAATCCTGAATAAATGAATATGTAGGCGCTTGTTGATGATGGAGTGTAAATGAATGAATATATAATTAGAGGTAAGCATGAATGAATGAACGGATGAAAAGGTGGATGAATGACTGGATGGATGGATGGATGGATGGATGGATGGATGGATCGATGGACGGACGGACGGATAGATGGATGGATGGATGGATGGACGGACGGACGGATGGATGGATAAAAAGTGAATAGATGGATAAATGGATTAATGGCTGGCTATAAATGTTAAAAAATGGATGGATGAGTAAGTGGATAATTAGATGCATGGATGTAAATGAATTAATGAATTTTGAAATTAACGACGTGATGATTGAATAGATGATTAGTAAATCAATCAACTAATTATTCAATTAGTGTACTCGGGACCTAAAAATGCTATAAATGGTTCATTTGAGGCGTATGCACTCAGCGTAAATGCGATCATAAATTCAGTACGCATTTTTAGGTTGGTGTTAGTACACGCAGTAGTTGATTGAATTGAAAACGGTTTAAATTTAATTAATTTTTTTATTCAAAACGTTAATAAATAAATTAAAAGATACCGTGCATTAAAAATCTTTCAAATGAAAAGTTAAAATTTTTTTTAATAACATTATGTCTTTTCGTCCAACTACAAACATTTTTATCTTCAATGTTATTGGCATATATTATTAGTCTACTTGTTAGTTTTCATTTTATTCCATATAAAATATAAGACCATTTTGTCATGTTTCATAGCTTCTGTTTGGTGCGGATGTGCTGTCCTCCTTTTAAGTGAGTTTTCTTCGTGGCCATATATCATTTGATAAATAAGATACTTAAGTAAAGAAATTGTATATATATATATATATATATATATATGTGTGTGTGTGTGTGTGTGTGTGTGTGTGTGTGTGTGTGTGTGTTATTATATATATATTATTCATTGCATTTATACAGCGCCCGTTTGAAAAAATTCGTCACAGGCGCTTCAATATTGTTATAATACTCGCTGTCGTAACCGATTTACGATGCGACGGGTTCAAATCCTCGATTGAATAAAATATTCCAAACAGTTATTAAACTTTATTTACAGAAGAAATCAACTATTATTAGTTATTAAACTTTATTTACAGAAGAAATCAACTAATCGTTTATTTCCAGTAAATTCAAACTAACGCAACAATTAACTTTTAAATCGTTCAAAATCTATCGCTATGACAACGTCAACAAACAAATCAAATATCGCTTTAAATATCTCACCGAATCGCTATTCACAAAATCACGAATTTCACTAATCACGAATATCACTAATCACGAATATCACTAATCTTCTTGCGACGTGCGCTTTTATACTCTTCGCAAGCGTCGTTTCTAGATTCTTCTCGATGGTCCGATTCTAGCATACTCTAGAATGCTCCAGTCACTAGAACATTCTAGAATACGCTAGAATCTAGTGCATTCGGTAGCACGGTTATAACATTACCCCCTTCTTAGTTCTGTTCGGGAGCTTTCGTTCCGGTGTCCGCATGGTACGGAGCCAGTCTATTCAAATGAACGATCTTCATTCTTGCTCTCGGCTTCCGATATTCCTGAATACGGTAGACGACGTCATTCAAGCGGGTGATGACTTGATAAGGTCCTTCCCACCCTCGCTGGAGCTTTGGAGAACGTCCTTTTTTTCGCTGTGGGTTGTACAGCCAAACTAACTCGTCGACAGCAGAACCGCCACTGCTTCAAGTCGAATCTGGTTTTGGCCGCCTCCGTGTTTTTCATAATTTTAAGGCGTACGTAACGGTGGATATGGTTTAATCGCTGTCGAAGATTATCCACGTATTCTGTAAAAACAGCAATCAACGCCTCGGCTTTTAGACGGTCTCTTCCAGTAGATTTTTGGTAAGTTCTTTGAGTCTACCTTTGTCAGTTGGTAGAACCTTTTCCTGTTGCTCCACATCTAATGATTTCACCAAATTTATTGATTGGCAATTATCTATTTCTTCGCCTTTTTTAATTTTAATAGTGTGTTTAGCGGTATTCATTATTCTGACAGGAATAAGACCATTTTTGTTCGCTTCTACCAGGCATTTTCGTTAGAAGGGGCCGATCGTGATACAGGATCATCTTCTCTTCTTTTGCGCCATCGTGTCGCGCAATTTCGGCAGTAGTTATCTTTTAGGTGGTGTTTACAATCACGACGTAGATGGCCTTTTTCACCACAAATCCAGCATTGGGGTACACCATGCTGTTGGGGTTCGCGTTTCACAACCACCTTCTGGTTAGAAGGGGCCGATCGTGATACAGGATCATCTTCTCTTCTTTTGCGCCATCTTGTCGCGCAATTTCGGCAGTAGTTATCTTTTAGGCGGTTTACAATCACGACGTAGATTGCACCATTGGGGTACACCATGCTGTTGGGGTTCGCGTTTCACAACCATCTTCTGGCAAGAGCATTCTTCATGTACTTGGCGTAAACGTACGTCATTTTTTGATGCTTGCTTTGCCGATTCAAAAGTGAGACTGTGCGCAACGGCATCTTTGAGTTTTCGTTTATCTGACAAGAGAAGGGATTGCTTGAGTTCCGAATCACGAAGGGCTTTGATAAACATATCCAGGGCAGTTTCGTCTCTATGCTCGGGGTCTGATGTCGGATACGACAGCAATGTCAACCGTTCGATATCTTGTGCCAGCTGCTGAATGGATTCACCAGATCGTTGCGTTCTGTTTCTAAGCTGAGACCGATAAATCTGTTTCATGTGTTTTTCACCATAACGTAAATCCAACGCGCTAACCAGAATTTCATAGTTGAAGTGGTTCTCCGCCGGAATCGTCTGAAAAACCTCTGCCGCTGAACCTCGCAGGGCCAGTATCAGTGCTGTTGCTCGTTCTTTTCCGTTCCAACAGTTACTAGTTGCCGCTGCTTCGAATTGGGTTTTATAAACGTTCCAGGACATCTCTCCGTCAAATGCTGGTACCTTCAAAGTTTTTCCGGATGCGTGATCTAACGGCATGGCCATTTTTTTGGATTGCTCCAATTCTCGCTTCAATTTGTCTATCTTGTGATCTACCTCAACGGTCTGACGATCAAATTTCTGCTCGATCATTTCTATTCTTGTTGACTGTTCTTTAATCTGTTCTGCCACTTCCAATTTTACGTGTTTTAACTCCTCTGTCTGTCGTTCGAACTGTTCCTTGATCTGTTGTTTTAACTCTTCTGTCTGTCGTTCGGACTGTTCTTTGATCTGTTGTTTTAACTCTTCTGTCTGTCATTCGGACTGTTGTTTTATTTCAGTTGACATACTAAGCAGAAGTTCCATCATTTTAGCGGTTGTAAACGTGCCTGTGCTAATTTCATTGTCTTCGTCAGCACCATCAAACTTGAATTCGTCTGGGTTCTTACCTTCGTCAATAAGAGCTTCTCTCAGACGTGCTACTAGTACTTCTTTGTTGCCACTTGTGACAAGGCTTCGTTTCTGTAGTTCTTCTCGTAGCTGAACTACGTTCAAACCACACAGTTTTGACATCGTGTTCTTTTTCTACGAGTAGTAATTCGCTGGTCGAAGATCCCACTTCTGACACCAATGTTATAATACTCGCTGTCGTAACCGATTTACGATGCGACGGGTTCAAATCCTCGATTGAATAAAATATTCCAAACAGTTATTAAACTTTATTTACAGAAGAAATCAACTATTATTAGTTATTAAACTTTATTTACAGAAGAAATCAACTAATCGTTTATTTCCAGTAAATTCAAACTAACGCAACAATTAACTTTTAAATCGTTCAAAATCTATCGCTATGACAACGTCAACAAACAAATCAAATATCGCTTTAAATATCTCACCGAATCGCTATTCACAAAATCACGAATTTCACTAATCACGAATATCACTAATCACGAATATCACTAATCACGAATATCACTAATCACGAATATCACTAACCTTCTTGCGACGTGCGCTTTTATACTCTTCGCAAGCGTCGTTTCTATATTCTTTTCGATGGTCCGATTCTAGCATACTCTAGAATGTTCCAGTCACTAGAACATTCTAGAATACGCTAGAATCTAGTGCATTCGGTAGCACGGTTATAACAATATATTAAATGCTATTAAGAGCTGAGCAGAATGTTTATTTATTTACTAATTATTTTGTCTCTTAAGTTGACTTAGAGTAAAATCAGCACTGCACAAACTGTTTGGAAAGCAATTTCACAACCGAGGCCCAGCGACAGCAGAGCTCGGAGGTTCAATCTTGTCTTTGGCACACACAAAATTTGAATCAACCAATTTCAATTTATATTTTTACAACTTTAAAAATAACTGTGGCTGCTGATAACGACCAAGGTTTTATTCCTAATGCTCTTAAAATATCAAAGTCATTCCAGTCCACAAATCTGGTTCCAAGTGAGAAATTTCAAATTATAGGCCAATTAGTATTGTTTACTGTCTCTCAAAATAATGAAAACATTTCAAACATAAATTGGATGCTTATATAAACAACTTTGATGTTCTTAGTAGTAACCAATTTAGATTTAGAAAATAATTATCAACTGAGGATGTGCCGTTGAACTTTACCAATGATATCCAATGATATCAACTCGATGTCTAATTTAACTTAATCAATTTAATGCTTTGGCTGTCTCGGTTGATTTTTCGGAAGCATTTGATTCAGTTGATCACAAACTATTGATTCAAAAAATTCGATATTATGGACTTGAAGAAAAATTTTGAGGGCACCTAGAATATAGCATTAATTACTAAGGATGCACGGAATTTCATTTTTTTATGAAATAAAATAGTTTAAAAAAATGTATCTACATATTTGTTTTTCTTTACAAACACATTCATTTGGGCGGCAATGACAGCCAAAAATAATTTACCTTCCACATCCAACAAAAAGATGACACGATACTGCGAAAGTGAGGTTGAATCTCTTACGAAATAAAAACTCCCTCAGCAATTTGCCAGTTTTCATGAACGATGCTGCAGTTCTAGAATTTGACCAATAGTTCATATAAAAATAATTTTTTGGTGGGAAATCTTTTATACAACAAGTACGGTAATCCATTTGAACTGGGCGAATAGCTAGTTAAATCATCGTTAAGTATTCGCTTTAAACAAACAAAGAATCAACAAAATAGAGACACAGTATATATATATATATATATATATATATATATATATATATATATATATATGTATATATATATGTATATATATATATATATATATAGAGAGAGAGAGAGAGAGAGAAATATGGTGAATTTAGCATTTAAATGAGAATTGAAAAAATATGGTGATCCAATTAATTAATTGATAAAATAATAAATAAATTAATTAATTAATTAACAAATTAAATAAACTGTTTTAGCAGCCAAGCGAGTTATCTCCAAGCCATCATCAACTATTCTGCATCTTATTTTTCTTCGCATCTCAACAGCCTCGTTCTTATCTTTTAATTGAATTTGTGTTTTTTATACATTTTTATTTCTTTTAAATAGGATGTCAATTATTTTATTTTTACGACTTTGATAACTCTTATTGATTAATTCTTTTATATTTTTGCTTCGATTATTTTGTAAAATATTATAATTGTTCTTCATTTTCATTCTTATCAGTAAGCTGATTTTATTTAATTAGATAGATTGTGTGGGTCTCTTCTACGTACGAACACACATGTGGCGTGGCATGGTGAGTGAGTGCGATGTATGTGATGTATGTGGTGTGTGCGTGTTGCGTTTCGATGTGTGGTGATGTGTCTTCATCCATTTAATTTGATTTGCTGATGTATGAACGCTGGAAAAATGAACTGTCTGACAAATGAACATTAATTAGTGAGTGAGTGAGTGTGTGTGTGAGTGAGTGGGTAAATGAATGAATGAATGAAGAGATGATAAATAGATCAATAAATAAATGAATATATTAACTAACTAATGAGCGAAAATACCAACAAATAAATGAAAAAATGAACGAATGAATGGATTGATGGGTAGTGAAACAATAATTGAATGAATAAGCAATTGAATGAACTAATGATAAAATAAATGAACAACAGTTAGTGTCACAAACAGTTGATGTTACAAAAAGCTTATGTAACAAACAGCCGATGTACCAAACAGCTGATACAACAAACAGTTGATACAACAAACAGCTGGTACAACAAACAGCTAATGATGATACAAACAGTTGATGCAACAAACAGCTGATGCAAAACAGCTGGTACAACAAACAGCTAATGATGATACAAACAGTTGATACAACAAACAGCTGATACAACAAACAGCTGATACAACAAACAGCTGATACAACAGACAGCTGATGCAACAGACAGCTGATGCAATGAATGTTGAGGAATAACTTATTTACCTGCTTAGAACCGTTTAGTTAACAGCCCGTCCCAAAGAGCGTCGGTTGGTCAGCCACACATCACAGACAACTTCTGCGGTCGAGCGTCATCATTGCAATCCTATCCATCCGAATTCATTTTCCTTCTTCCCGTCATTATTCCTCCTCCATCTTAATCATTCCAGTTCCACGCCATCTGCATCATCATCATCAACAACAACAACACCATCATCATCGTCGTCGTCGTCATTATCATCAACAACAACATCATCGTCAACAACAACACCATAATACTCATCATCATTATTGTCCTTTAACATCATCATCAACAACAACAACACCACCATCATCGTCATCATCACCATCGTCAACAACAACCCCCATCATCATCATCATCGTCATCATTAATGTCCTTTAACATCATCACCAACAGAAATATGCTAAAATATCATCATCATTCTCATCAACCTCAACATTATAGTTATAATCACATCATCATCTTCTTCAACAATTACAACGTCATCATCATCATCATCATCATCATCCTCTACATTTATCATTATTTTTTTCCTTCACTGTATTATAGTCAACCTTTTCGACAACCTCATCATCATCATCATCATCGTCGTCATAAAAACTATTATCAACATTTTCATCATCGTCATCGCCGTCATCATCATCATCAACAACACCGTCAACTTCACCGCCATCATCATCATGAGCCTCTCAATCCCAATCAACACCGACCAGGGATGGATGGACGGATGGATAAGTTCTCGTACTGGCCGTCCCGTGAGAAACCCACGTAGAAAATTTACGAGTTCGTAATGAGAAGTGATGATGATGGTGATGATGACGACGACGATGGCGACGATGATGACGATGACGACGATGAAGATGATGAAGATGTGATAATTACGTAACGAAGTGGAGGAAGGTGATGATAATGATGATGACGATGACGACGATGATGATGATGATGGAAATAAACTGCATAGGTGTCGACGATTGGGAGAATGACCATCATGATGGTGAATACGACATTGAAGAATTAAATGAAACCGTTGGTGATGATGATGATGATTATGGTGATGAAAAGGACAAATATTGATGATGGAAAAGATAATGATGATAATGAGCAGGAGGAGGAGGATGACGTTGGTGATGGAGAAGACGATGATGATGATGATGACATTGATAATGATGATGTTAATGATGACACAATGATAATGTTGTTGTTGTTGGTGTTGTTGATGATGATATGATCATAATCATCATCATCATTATTATTATTACCATCATCATTATCAGGAACAGCATGATGAGTTGTTGGCGATGGTGGTAGCTGTCCAGATAGTGATGGCTTGAAACTGACGCTAGAACAGGTGACGAAACAACGGACATTGATTGAAATATGGTAGTCGTGCATAAAATTTTAATTAAAAAAAAATTTAGATGAGGAGGGCTGGGCGGGGTGGAGAGGTAGAGAAGGGTGGGAGGGAGGGATGGAATGGGGTGGGGTGGAATACAAAAGGGTGAAAAAAGAGGGCGTGAAAGAAGGAGGTCAGATAAAACGGGATGGAGTTGAATTGGGTAGGATAAAAAAAAGGGTTAAAATGGTTGGTGGTATGGCATGGGATGTTTAAAGTTTGCACGTTGAAGCGTTACCTGCGCATGCGCTGAGTTTGATTTTTAAGAGTAGAGTTGGGTGGCTTGAGAGAAATTGAATGCACCATCGTTTAACTTTTAACTTCATTCATAATAATCTTTCTCTCACACCATAATCATCAACACCAGCAGCATCACGTTTTGGGAATTATCTTCAAAATTTCAATCTAATTAAATTTGCATACCAGTTTTTTAATATTTTATAAATTTTTTATTTTATTCATCTTTTTCATCATATAGTCAACAACGCTCCTCCGTAAATTTTGCAAACAGATGGGTCTTGAGATCCGCTCTGAACTTCGTAAGTGATGGAGAAGTAGTCAGAGAAGTAGGTAGAGAGTTCCAGAGAAAAGGACCAAAAAGCAAAGGCAAATTTAGCAAAAGAGTGTTTAACACGAGTTAAGAAGAGGTGAGAACGAGAAGACGATCGTAAACCGGAACGTTTGGGTTCAATTAATATATCTGAAAAGTACTTAGGAAATAATTTAGATTGAGACTTAAACGTAAATGTGCAAAGTATAAAAATTATTCTCTATTTTATAGGCAGCCAGTGCAAGAAAACAAGATATGGAGATATATGAGAAAAGAAAGGGGCACGAACAACCAGACAAACAGCAGAGTTAAAAGCTTTACTTAAAAGATAGAGTGTAGAATCAGGAAGACCGTAGTAGAGCGAGTTACAATAATAAATGATAGATAAGACTAACGAAGTAACAAGAAGAAGAGTAGGATCGTCAAGAAAAGGCAAAAATTTTTCTATTCCACGTAGTAGAAAATAAAAACTTTTAGCAACACTGTTAATCTGAGAAGAAAGAGACATACTAGAATCAAAGATTACGAAACTAGACTACGAAACTTGTGAGAAACATCAAGAGTTTTCAAATCAGGTAAGATAATAGGAGAAATAGTAATAGGGTTAGGGTTTAGATTTATTAAAACATATTAATTCAAACTTAGAAGGATAAAGTTTAAGACACATAGAGTCAGACCAAGCGATAATTGAAGAAAGACATAGAGATAGATTATGATGAACACTATTGAGGTTAGGTGGAGGAAAAGAAGACAACTGTGGTACAAAGGCAAATGTTATCATTACCTACACCATCGTCGCCCCGTTATAAATTCAATTTTCAGCACATTCATCCTTGTCACTATGTAACTTCAAATTGTATTTATTGATGTGCAATCCTACGTGATGGACGGCGAAACATCCACAAAACAAAACGGCAAAATAGCTTTTTAGACAGTCGATGTGCCTGTCTCGCGTCTTTGTTATCGCGCGATGAGACCTGCCTCAATTTGAACACTGCCCGAAACTCAAACTCACCAGACGTGTTGGTGCGATGCAGTTTCGTGCATACAAAATGTGTACGTACATCATGTGGTGTGGAGTGGATGTTACGGCCTTTGGGGGTGGCTCAGAAGGTAAACTACAGAATATGTAAGAGTAACTAAAATTATAAAGAGATATGCTAGAATCAAAAATTCAGCCTAGACTGTGAAACTTGTAAGAAACATCAAGAGTTTTACGCACTCGAACACACGGCATGATATGTAAAAAAAATGTCTGCTCATTTTAGAGCTGCATAATAAAGAACAAAAAAACGAGACAACAAGACATCAACAAACATGCGACACAACAAGAACCGTTGGATCGTGCTAGATGCAGTCAGAGATGTGGAGAATTGTGGAAATAATATGGTTGAAATCCTACAAAGGACACTATCGTGCCAAATTACTTTGACGTCTCAATGACATTTTGACACAGTATTTCAGCAAAGAACTTTCTATTTGTATCAGCCAGAAAACGCAATAAAAAGTTTAAAAAATAAAATAAATAATTGTGTAAGGGGTATTAATAAGCAATAGTCATTAATTGATTGCAATGTTCATTTCTGTTAATGAGAAATAGATGTGAAACTTTACAGAAACAAAACAAAACATTAATATGATAATTTACGAAAATGATTGAAATGAGAACTTGCTAGAAGTTTAAAGTGGCAATAACAATAGCAACTGAAAATAAAAAGATGCGGCTTTCACCCTGCTAACATTTACAAAACTGTTTTTTCACGTCACTACGCTGAATCTCTTTTGTTACAATACTGCTCCTTATACCAGACTAAATTTTTCATTCTAAATTACATCGCACCGTAATTTGCATTGAACACACAACACACACCCACAACACACAGACATATTCAATGAGATTAAATTAATTTTGTCAACAAACATTATAGTGCGGATGGTTATCTACACTGAAATGTTTAATAAAATCCCTCAAAACAAATGTTAAAAACAATCTAAAAATGATTTTCGGGAAAAATAGTTATGCTTATAATAAGCTTTTGTTGAAAAAAGAAGCCAATCAGTCAAGCTTCTGCAGGCTTTTATTTCTATTTTCAATACACGAATGGAATGCACGAAAATTATGAAGTGCATGATGTATGTATGCCTTTAAAGATGTACAACATTCATCACAGCACCTCGTTAGCATATTGTTTATCCTATTTATCGAAATATTGTTGGTGCATGCATTTAAGTATTTATTACATCGAATCAATAAAGAAGCAATGAATTAAACGTTAAAAAATAATGAAGCAGTTCACTCTTGAAGGGAAGAACATAGGGCGTTTCACCACGGAAAGAATGTTTGCGTTCTCGCCAGCGTTTTATAATATCACTGACTTCCGAACTGAAGCAGTCACAACAACACTCAGCAGGAAGTTATTGGTCTGTACTTTCGAGAAAGATTTGGCCGGTGGTTTTCTCAAATCTGCAAAAAGCCTGCAGAAGTCCATGTATGTTCAAAACTTTATTATTAGAAGTTGTTGATCTTCTTACTTTACATGTTTCCAGTGTTTCTAACGTGTTTCTCGTGTGAAATTACCTATAAGCAATAGAAGGGTAGTGTTTAAGAAAATAATTTCGCCCAGCTTCAAACTTAGCGTCATTGCAAGTTGGTTAGACTGCGGTGTTGGGTCATTGAAACATGATCAACACAAGGAAAATTTTTCAACTTTTAACTTAATTGCTTAAGAAAAATTTTTTATGTATGTACATAAGAGAGGTTGTTTTTTATACTAGCAGGTTCAAGTTTGCGCTATTGCGGTTCGGGTTCGGAAGGAAAGACATGAGAACGACACAAAGGATGAAAGATTCAAAAAAGGATTTTTGCTAGGAGGACCAGTAAACAAACAAATTGATAGAAAGACGTCAAAAAGCACCGACATTCAACTCCAAGAACGAGTTGGAGACTGTCGCTGCTGGAACGACTGTCAGCCGCATGCGAAATTTGATGCAACACAATCATCACACAAAAATTGAGTGATGCCATACTGCTAAGATTTATGGAAGATGTAGTGTCATGTATACGTGCATGTACTCTGATGCATGTATGATGCATGATGTAGCTTGGCTTGCTTGCGTGCATTTACATGTGCAACTCTAAGTAAGATGTCGGAGCTGACGGCATTGCGTGTGTGTGATGTTTATAATGTATAATGTCAGCGCAGAAGTGGTGTCTATTGTGTCGGTGCCAGCAGAACAATTCAACGGAATGCCGTAAAGATGTCAGGAAAATATTAAACACGTCGACAATGTACTACTATAAATAATAATCTATTGATCTTCTACTGTTGTAATGGCGAAAATATTTCGTTAAACTTTTGTTCAAGTGTTGTAAAATATGGGTTGGCAAAGACAGTAATAACGACATTGACGAGGAAGTCGATGTCTACAAAAGATTCATTGCTACTGCACATTCATCAAGTGGATGAAAGAGATAAGGACAAAAATTACGAAGATGATGAAAATGAGGAAGATGACGACAATGAAATGGCTAAAAATGGTGATGGGGCGTAAAAAAGTAATAAAAATGAGGATGATGAGGGTGAAGATGGTGACTTCGTGCAGGATCAATTAGGCCTGGTGTAATGCTGCAAGTCAACAAGTTCCTCTATTCTATTTTGAGTTCGCTAAATTTGCAACACACTTGCACTTTGATTGTCATATATATATATATATATATATATATATATATATATATATATATATATATATATATATATATATATATATATATATATGT